GCATTGACTATTTCTTGCGTAGTTTCCAAAGCAAGTTATCACCAACTAGCTACGAGTATGTAGTAGGACTTTTAGCTGGATCTCTTGTAACATATTGTAGTGGAAACCCTCTTCTTCCCAGAACCTCGTCTTAGTGAGCCAGAACTAGGACTTCCACAAACACTGTGCAAGCCTCCATCTTCTTCTTTACTTCCTATCCTGTGCTTCTACTTCTTTGCCTCCTGCAATATCCTCTCAATCTCTTCTTTGCTCTTGAAATATCTCAGAAGCAGAGCCTTTCATTAGCCTTGCTCCAATACCCAAGCAGTGATGAGGTGCTAAAACACCGAAGCCCTTCAATCTTCACATACAACTAATATTGACGAAGGTGACGATTTGACCTGAGCAACATTGGGATTCTCCTGCACCACAGCTCTCATGCAACACTTTTTTTTTTTTTGGGTTCCTCCTTGTCAAGTCTTAGGGGGTGTTTGGCAAAACCAAAACCACGGTTTCAGAATCACTTTTCCGCAAAACGAGGTAACCTCATCCACATATTTACTTCGTAATCCGTAAAAGCACTTCTGAAACCATAGTTTGGCTTCTATCCAAACACCTCCTTAATCCTTTCAATGATTGATTGGCTTCCTCTTTCATTGATTCATAATCTCGGACTTAGCAAGATATATATGCAATATTCCCTTTCATCTTGCAATATAAAACAATGGTTTCTTCCTTCATTCTTGCCCACTATGAAAACAACAAGAGCAGTTTGCAAACTTTCTAGAAGCAATACTTCCACTTGCAGGATAACAGAGTTTTCAACACAAGATGATATTATAGCCCAGCTTCGTACGCCTTGAGGAAAATAGGAAAAAAATGCGCCATCGAAGAAAAGTGATAGAGGCATTACCGTCAGGGTCTCAAGACGCAGCTAGTGAGGCATTCAGCATTAGATTGGAATGCAAATTTAAAAGAAGACAACCTTTCGTCCACGGTGCTTCATGATCTTGGACTGAGCATCAATGAATATAATCTTGACGTCTTGGTGAAATGTCGGAACGAAATATCTCTCTCCTCAGTCCTCACGACTTCATCAACTATAGGGTTCTCAGCGTATCTAAAGCCCATTTGGCCCCATCACCGAAAGATTCCTCAATTTCCACCATCACGCTTGACGATGGACTGGATCTTGAAACAGAGAGGAATAAAAGGGTGTGAATACAGAGAACACGATCGAAGATCTTACAGCAGTCAGAAGAGTGATCGTTGAAGTAGCCTTGACGAAGCTGCAAACCACGGTGTCAACGCATATCCACCAACTGGCGCCAAAGATGGTACCCCGCAACGCTAAACCCAGAGATCGCCTAATAGATGAGGCGACAAGGTGAGGCTTGACTTGCTATCTTTGAAGTTCTTCGACGGCGATAGAAACAATCTTGGAAGGAAGTTTGTACGGCAGCGACGATGTTCAGCAGCGCCGTCGCATGACGATGGGTATGGCCAAGACTGAACAAAGATTGCGAAGGCAAAACGTGGAACGGAAGCTGGTGACGACGGCGAAACAAGAAAGGTAGGGTTGCTCAAAGAATCCTCAAAACGCAGCGTTTGAAACTACTGGCAAACATGACAATTGAACCCCTTGGCTACGGTTGGCTACGGTGGCAAAACAAGAATCACCGCTTCGATAATTTTGGCCCAAATATTGACCTGCTCATGATACCATGTTAACTTTAGAGATTTGAGAGAAATAAGAAGAAAAGATGGAAATCAGATGTATTATTTATGATAGAGCACATGCTCATACAATCATTGTAACCCACTTGGGTTAACACTAATCATCCCTTATACAAGGGTGATAAACAAATCCCATAACTTATGAGGATTCTTGAGGTGGGAGACCCAAGTTAACCTCCCCCTTTTATGGTGAAGATTACATTATCTCACACTCTAAACACATCACACTAAACCTTTTATATAAGCCTATCTCACTTAGCAAATGACTCAAGTATCCTCTCTCTAACACTCATCACTAAGAAATGGAATTCCACTTCTTGAAGCATGATCTAAATGATGGCTTTATGTTTGACAATGAACTTTAGAGGATGTACGTGTTATAAAGTATTACTCAATACTCCTTTAGCAAAAATAATTATTAATAATTTTACATAAATTAATGAATTTTGTTTAAATTAATTAATTTTTTAAAATTTCAAAATTACTCTATATGGAATTGATTAATTATAGGAGGCTGTGTAGTTTATTAGAGCCAGGAATTTGGGTTAATCTCTCAATCAGATGTTTGATTTGCCAAAGTCCGAGAAAATGGGATGCAGGGAATGCCTCTCATCTGACCATCGAGTATCAGTCAAGGGTAACAGTTAGCTTAGTGGGAAATGGATGCGAAATGACAAAATTACCTGCAAGCCTCCTCCCTTATAGGAGCAATAGGAGCAATTTTGTCGCTATCTTTTTTTTTAAATAACAATTTTATCGCTATCTTTTGTTATTGACATATAAACTAAATAATTAATTTGCTAAGATTAAAATAATTATGGTAAAGTACCACCCGTTCTAATGTTATTTGGAAGTTATATCCAATACCTTTATTTTAGTTATGACACATTCAACATCTTAATATTATTTTTCAATTATATCTGTCATTATAATCCTATTTATCGTGTATTTAATATTTAGTAATCTTATTTATAGTACATGTTGAATGCACTATAAATAAGATTAAAGTGCCAGTTGCCACTGAAAAATAATATTAGGATGTTGGTTACTGTTTTATTTGAGAAATTAGTTAACTTGATTAATAATGTGTTAATTTTCTTAAAATATATTTTTCAATTATTTGCGTTAGAAATATCTCTTGATAAAAACCTCTTTAAATGTGTAATCAATAAGAATAGTTTAAGGAAAAAAAAACCTATACTTACATCAAGTTCTTTATATCAATTATGTCAAGTTTTAATCAAACATGACTATGTGTCTTATTTTTAAAATAATGTCATTTAATTATAAACCCAAGTAAATAAAACAGGACATATGGCCATATGTGATTTGAAGACTTAACATAATAAATATAAGAAACTTGATCTAAATATTTTTTAAGGAAAAATTATAAATTTGAGAGATAAAAATAGATTGATACCTTACTATTATTACTTAGGATAAATGTAAACCTTTTAATTAGTTCTTATATTTAGAACCAAACTATTTAAAATATTTATTGCATTATAAAGTGAAAACAGGTTAGATTAGCCTTGCTTTGCCTTACTGACATGGGTTTTGAAATAAAGATATAAAGCCTGATTCTAAATCTAAGCTTATATATAACATTTTCTAAGGCTCAAGTCTAAACCTAAGCATTGTAAAAGATATTACTTCAAATCTTTTTTAAATGTCCATTTAAAATATGGGCTTTTAAATATGTTTAAAATCCTATAACTCTAACGTCATATATAACTATTTAAACCTATAAAAATATTACATATAAATTAAAGGGTGGAGCTTGTGTAAATGATAAGATATGAAACTTTGCATTAAAGCTAAATTAGTAATTTTAAAGATAATTTAAAAAATTCATTTATATTATACTATATAAAATAGTGCATGGTAAAAAATAAATAAATAGATCAGGTCTGTAAGTCTATAAGCTCAGCTTTATTAAAATAGTCCTTACTTATTTACTTAAATAGGTCTAGAAAATAAGTTTTTTTTTTTTTTGCTAAAGTATGGGTATCCTCCTATTAGAAGCAATCTTATTCGAGGTATTGTTGGGCACTAAATGTGGGTACCTCTCCTAGCAGAGATTTAAACTTTAGTTCATCATGTCGTGAGGGATTAATCTCTTTCGCTAGACCCAAACCTGTTGGTTGGTCTAAAAATAAGTTTGAACCTACTTATTTACTATTCACTAAAGAAACTAGGGTAGACTATAGCCTTAATAAATACTACTTTCGGTTCTAATTATAAGACCTCACTTATAGTTTATAAATAAGATCTTATAATTAGGACCGGAAGTAATAAGAGTTTAAACTACTCCAAGAAAAGAGAGGTTAAATTACTTCCCCCATAAGTCTACTATAATGGTCACACCAATACATTACTATTGTATATCAATCATAGTGCATTACAACTTAGAAAATGACAAAAAATAGCTAAAGAAAGTGAGAAAAATGGAAGCAGAAGAAATCCCTCAGAAAAGGCCAGGAGGAAGAGAAAGTTGGAGAGGAGCGGGCGATTCACAAAATTCTTCACACACTTCTCCTGAAAATCTTTCCTCATACATTTTTTTGGCAAGCATTGATATACTCTTATTGAAAGTAATTCGAGGTACTGTCAAACATTAAATATGGGTAACTCTTTTACAAAAAATTTGAACCCATCATATTGTAAGGGACTAATCCCTTCCATTAGAATTAATCTCAGTTAGTAAAACCTTTCCTCATATAAGCCATGTTCTTTAAACCTTTTGTCATGCTTTTCGGCCCATTTACTTCATATATAGCTCATATTTCCTTTTGGCCCATTTCCATATAGCTTAGTATGTTATTTTTTTTAAGTTGAAGTATATATTTAGTCCTTTAATTTTATATACAGTTTCAATTTGATTTTTAATTTTAAAAAGTATACTTTTAGTCCTTTAATCTCAAAATTGTTAGTATTAAATGATATTTTTTGTATCAATTATGATTGTTTTGAATACTAAACTTAATATGTTAGCATTTAGTAATATTTTATTAGTATTTAAGAGTTCAATATCATTATTTTTTATTAACAATTTTAAAAGTATACGACTAAAAGTTTACTTTTAAAAATTAAAGTATTAAAATAAAATTTTATATAAAGTTAAAGCGCTAAAGTAACTTTAATCCATTTCTTTATTATTATTATTATTATTATTTTTTGGTTACTTTCCTTTCCACCGGTGTACTTAATCCGCAAGGCAATACAAAAACGCAGCGTAGATTGTGCATCTTCCTTCGGCTGGACGCTGAGCATTACATGCGTTTATATTTCACTGCCTTTTTGCTCTGCAGTCTTCGGCAACCCTTTGCATTACAATTTGGTGCTTTAATTGACCTCCAATGGCCGAACAGACCCGATCAGAGGATCTTCGGCCGGACGTTGGATGTGTAACTTATATGATAGAACAGCGTGTGATTAACGCTCGATTAGAACGGTTGGAGTCTTCTCTAGATGGGATTACGCGCGCGATGGACTCCTTGACTCGGAGTGTGGATCGTTTGCTCCACGCCCAGGCCATCGAAGTCTCCAGTTCGGTTACCGACGCTCATATGCCAGCCAACATCAACAGGTTTTTCGATGAGAAATACCAACTCTCTTCTTCTTCGTCTATCTCTCAACATTCTCTTCTTCTTGATTCTGCTTCATCGTTCCTTTTTAGCGTTTATGTTTCCGTAAGGGCAACATATCATTATACTCACGGATTATACTTGGATCATACTTGTACTTGCACTGTTCAAGTCTTCTGGGAGGATTTTTTTACTAATTTTCCCTTTTTTTTGGGCCATTATTCATTATTTCATTGTTTATTTGCGGCATTTTATTTGCTCTGTATTAATATTCTCAGTGTTGCGCAACCTAGCAGAGGATACTGTTTTGGTCCTGAAAAGGCTCACTAAAGGCTCACTTTATTTTAATTTGAGTAGAGATTGGTGGCCATTTGATTTGATTTACAGTTATTTATTTATTTATTTATTTTTGAAATGATGTTATTTGTTACTCGAAAAAAAGTCGAGGATACAAGCGCGGGGCATGGTGTTCCTCGACCTCTGGTTATCCAAATTTAGTTTGGATGTTTTAGATTTAAAATTTTTTATTATTAGCTTTTAAGTGATAATTTTATTTTTCAAAGAAGTGATTATCTTCCATTTACATTTCTATATTTTTAAAAGTAAAAAAACCAGGAGTATAAGAATAAAAATAAATTAAATCTGAACCTCTTTTTTGTTTTGGGCCAGCACTGAACTTCTTAACTTCAATTTTTTTTTGGGTACAATTAATTTTAATTTTTGATTGAGATCACTGTGTTTTATTTTTAGTCGGGCACATGATATCTTTGTGTCATTTTAGCCATCCAAAGATTATGTCTCTTTCACGGCCCAAAAAGATCGTTTCTGTTTCAAAATGATCTTCATGTCAGAGCCCTGTTGGAGTTCGAATTCATTGGGCCTAAAGCCCATTGGATCAGTTACGCTTTTCTCATGGACTCCAATTTAATTCCGATTGTTATTGTTACTCCAGTGATTTTATTGCTTTTTACTAGAAATTGTACCTCTTGGATCATTATTATAGAGTCAAATAGAGGGTAGAGGAAGATTCAAGGAAACATTAAACCAGAGTTTTTGGTTAACAATCTATCTAAAAATTTAGTTATTAACAAAGGGCATCATTTTTTGTAGCCAATGCAACCTAGTTGAAATGAGACTTCTTGTTGTGTTCAAAACAACCTATACTCTTTGCTGATTGTTGTCAACTAAACAATGTATTTTATGAGAAGTGCCTTGTCAAATGTTGGGCTCAAAATTAAACCTAATTTTAGTTCTCCTATACTTTCCAGTTTTGACCTTTTTTTTTTGGCTATACTTTGGATTTATGCAGTGGATTATTGGCGGAGAGGTTGATAAAAGAACAGGAAGCAAAAGAGCATGAAAAGAAAGAAGAGGCTCACCTATACACCATTATAAAGGTCATCAATTCCCTATCTTGATTTCCGTGTAATCAACTGCTTCTTAAACTTTACCAGAATTCTCCGGTGCTGCTTCTTAGGTGGCACGAGATGAAGATCTTGCAAAACAGATTGGAAAAGATATATATTTTGACCTTGTAGATCATGACAGAGTGAAATGTTTTCGTGTCAAAAAGCAGATGATTTTTAACCATTTCAAGGTATGACAATCTAGTGATCTACCATCCTTTTACTCTTCTGCAAGGACTCTCTAACTTGGCACAGTGTGTTAACTTGTTTTCTTTCTTCTGTAGCATGCTCTGCTAACAGCTTGGTCTGGTCTTGCGTGGTTATATATTAATCCAAGTCTGTGGCATTCGTTGAAGAAAGTTGAATTAAGAAAAATGTTAGCATTATGCATAGTTATCAAATTGCAGTACAAATTGTTGATTGTAAGTGTTTACACCAAGTAATTTGTTTGAGGCCCAAACCCAAGACCATTAATCTGAACAATAAAATCCCATATAATTAGGATAACATAAGCAGCAGCAGCAACAACAATTCAGGAACATCAGCAGGGAATAAATAAAAATTCTGCCGTTAAATAGTGGTCCTTATGGGCCAATTTTCTTTATCGAAAACAATAACAAATATTAAAAAGCTGTTTAAATAGAGGTTAGAAACATTCAGACCGATTTTGATGTTGCCTGAAGCTATTTTTTTTAACCACCCCGAAAAAAAAGTGGTGGACTTGGTGTCTAATGCACAGGATATCTATGTGTAAAAGTTCTTGACTGATAAACCTGCAAAATTCACGTAGATTCGCATAGGAAGTAACCAATATTCATGCAGCATCAAGTTGGTGAGTTTGTAGAACAATTTAAAGCAGAAATGGTTGGTGTCAATCTCTGCTGTCAGAATTTTTTTGGATGAGCATTTTAGCTTTTAAACTATGATGCGAGTGATGATTGTCAATTTCTTATTATGCTTGGTTGAATTATTTTCAGTGGTTATATTTCTTTGTCGATTTGCAAACTGCAGGAAGAGGTTGCGAAAGAGTTTGGCATACCAGTGCAATTTATGCGCTTTTGGCTTTGGGCAAGGCGTGAAAACCATTCCTACCGTCCTTGTAGGCCATTGACGCCCTTTGAGGAAATCAAATCCGTAATAGTTTTCTAACCAATCTTCTTGTTGTTATTTGCCCTTCATTTTTTTCCTTTATTTTGGTCTCGGCTATAGCAAGCTTCATATCTCTTTAGCTGCTGCTGACTGTCTTGGTTTGAGCTACATTCTGCTTTTGTAAAAACTGATCTTTTGCGGAAGCTTAATCTTTTCTGTTCTATTGCTGCATGTTGTCTTATTTCTAAAAGCTGTTATTTACGTGATATTGTTAGCTGGAAGCATATCTTAGATTTCATATGAGGGTGGGCTTGTCATCAGTTCACTTAGTGGTGTTTTTCGTGTATCAGTCCATTTTAACTCAACCAACTTTTTCTGGCTGTTATTTAATTCTTTCTTTTTAAAAAATAAAAAAATGTTTAGCATTATTTATATTATTTTGGATCCTCTGGTCAGTACTTTTCGTTCTGTAAGAGCAGTTAATTTCTATTAATTCTTGTCTGTATGCTATAGTACTCTGCCATGCATTAGCATCTCTACCATTTGATGCTGGTTTTCACTTGTTTCCGACCATCTTCATGTTGCAGGTTTGGCAATTGAGAAAAGTTTTAAAAGAAGTCCACATTAATCTGTTTTTGGAAGTGGAGCTGGGGCTGGTAATTTTTATATTTATGGAATGTGATTGCATCAAACATGGTATTGTTGATATTCTGCTTTTTATTTAGGATTTATGTCCCATTGCACCACCTAAATGGACGAAGGATGATATATTACTTTTCTTCAAGCTATATGATCCCCTAAAAGAGGAACTACGGTATTGAGTGATTTCGTTACTTTGCATTTGTTGAGGCCTGTTGTAATACCTACTGTTGAAGTTAGATCAATATTTCTATGGTGGCAGTTATGTTGGAAGGCTCTTTGTGAAGCTGCTTGGCAAGCCATCAGAGATATTAATGAAGTTAAATGAAATGGCTGGTTATGGTCGTGAGGAAGAGATTGTACTTTATGAGGTTGGTGCCCTAATTTTCTCGGCTGTAGCTTCATGCAAGTTTTATGCACTGTGGTTTTTATCCTTGTTTGTTGGAAGCATAGGTCCGTTCAAAATCAGTTCCATCCACATCTAACCAAATTAATCCAATGTCTTGTTTGATCTTTGTTGGGAGTTTGGGCATGTCTATCAGGTCAATTCCATGTAACCCCCTTTTTTCAAATAACAAAGCAAATATATTATAAGTAAGATGATTAAAATACAAGAGGTCTAGTTGCTATCCACGGGGAAAAGTTGAAGGAAAATTTTGATGTTGCTCAGCAGGGGTTAAACAAATCTTGAATGACACAATTTCGGTAGTTCATGAAGAATTTAATCTTCATGCGCGTCACTCTTTCTATGGGGTCTTGCAACCTGAATTATTTTTTTTTTGACTTTGGTCACATCATTTACTTGATATTTAGATTTAGGAATGATTTGTGATCTATAGCCCTTTACATGTTTAATTTTTGAACTGAGCACTCTGAATGTCTCTGTGATTAATATGTCCGACCCTTCTTATTCTAACGTGTATATCAGTGACTGACGGAAATCCATAATTAATGACTGGAGTGTCCTGTTAAGTGTTTTTTCCTTTTGGGTTGCGTCTTCGAATTGAGATCTCCTGTATCTGTGTTTTGTGCAGGAAATTAAGTTCGAACCATCTGTCATGTGTGAACCCATTGACAAGGAACTATCGTATGCAGAAAGTCAGGTAAATAAATTTCTTCACATTTGATACTCCGAGTTGCTTTCTTCTTGTGCTATACGCTGATGTGATTTCCATATTGCAGCTAGAAGATGGAGATATCATTTGCTTTCAGAAAGCACTCCGTTTTCCAGATGTGCCTTCATACTTAAGATATAAGCGCAATCGTGGGGTATATTTTATTGGTTTTCAATTCAAGCAATTTTTGTGCTTGTGCCTGGTTTGGTTTCTCCCTTTGAATTTATACATGGGTTTTGCTCTTTCAGATCGCCACGTTTGAGAAGCCAGTAAACATTCATAATCAGGAAACCAATTCCAATGAGTTGTGATCCTCCGTGGGATGAATTTGGAAGCAAACAAGTGAAAATGCATCAGCATTTGCAGGATTTTATTGGAGTTTTGTGGCCATGAAATTGTATTGCTTCCATGGAGTGACTTTGCTCCCGACTTTCCGTTTCTATGTGTGCTTACATACACTTTGGCTTTATTTCCTTCATATGCATTTATAAACTTGTATGCGAACCGTGAGAACATCTGCTTGTTTCACTTAAAATATCTGTTCATTTGTTTTCATACATTTCCTCTTTTCTTCCCGTCTTATTCGACTTCATAAAGACGTATGGATTTCACGAAGATCTAAACATTTTTCTGTGAGCAATGGATTACACGGAGAAAAAGAGTCGAACTTATTCACCCCTATGCTAATTTATGCACGTTAGGAAATATATAGATTATACGCATGGATTATTTTAACTAGCGTTCCCGCTTTTATTTTTTTGTTAGTTACCATAAAAAATAAAGACTGCACATCCCTGCAATTCTTCTTTAGTGTGTGTATATATAGACACATGAACAAGCTATAGCCCCTACTATACATAAAAATGGTGCACCTAAATATTGGGAAAAAGGGTGTGGTGGGGTCATCATGGACCATTACGGACGGCAGATGTCAACGAAGCTTCTTATCTTTAGTGGGGAAAAAGGGGTAATGGAAACGTTTGCATTTGGGCCCTGTTTCAAACTTCTATCAAGTGGGCTCGCTTTCGTTGGGTTATCCCTCTGGAAACATCTCAATCCCCTTCTCACTAGTGATGTAGGCTCATGTGATAGGCCCTATTCCTGAAGTTTTGAATGACTGGTTGTTCTATTTGGAGCAATATTCCCCCGAGGTAGGGTGGGCTCGGCCTCTGCAGACCATTTCTTTTTCTCTATTTTTTTAAAAAAGGGGTCCTTTTATTTTTTTGAAGTCTTTCCGGCCAATAAAAATCCTTTTTCCTATGGTTTATCTTGAACCTTGATAAGTTGCCGAAAAGGAAAAAAAAAAGTTCATATAATTTTAGTCCTTTGAGTTTGCTCTTTAAAACATCCGTCTTATAATTTAATAAAAATATGGATCATTTTTTCTTTTAAAAACCAAAACCTATAGTTTGAAATTTAAAAGACTAAAATCAAAATGAGAACAAATTTAAAAAATAAAAAATTATATTAACCCAGAAAAAAAATAAAAATTATCTTTGGATGATTATTCTGAAAAAGGAAAGCATTTGAAAACGAAAACATAAAAACTTGTTTGGAACATTGTTCTTAAAATCAACTTGGAGAATTGATGGGAAGTGAGAGATAAAGTGAATAGTGCAGTTGGAGGACTAAGAAATGACGTAGAAGAGCATGAGAGCCAAAGTGAAGAGTGTGGCCTTAAGTAAAAAGAACAATTAGGAAAATTGGGAAAAATAAAAAAAATAGAAAAAAACGAAAGAAAACAATAAAACATGTAAAAAAAATTATTGAGTTTTTGTTTTTAAAAAAATATTTCTATTTTTTATTTTACAAAACACTTAATTAAAAATTAATAACCAAATACGTTTTTTTTGCTAATAGTCTCCAAAACAAGAAAACAAACAGGCCCTACATTTTTTCCCTTATTTTTATATTCCAAGAAAGTTGTGCGTGGTTTACCCAACAAAGAGGCGGGAAAAAGAAAGAAAGATGTTTTGTTTGCACACGGGCTGTACGCAAAAACACGGGTGCTTCTGATGAAGACCTGATTGCAACACTGCTTGTTTACTAAATAATGCTTTTGTATATTCACATGTATCCTACCAAACAATGTTAATTTGCCTGGCTTTTCTTTCTTGTCCTTCAAGTTCGTTCTTGAAGTTCGCTCTTCTTTACATACATTAGCACGTACCTAAAGCGGCCTTTGAAAAGATATCAAAACTTTATGACCTTATAAGAGATTATAACGCAATAATAAACCCCTTCTTGCCAGCTAGGGGTGTTCAAGACCGGCTCGTCCCGGTCGGCCCGTTCCGGCTCCGATCTTATTGGGACGGGACGGATCCGTCCCGAAATTTTTCGGGACGGGACAAAAAAAGGATCGGGACGGGACGGGACACGGGACGGGGTCATCCCGTCCCGGTTCCTTTTTTTAAAAAAAAATTTTAATTTTTTTAATTTTTTATATAATATCATTTTTTTCATATTTTTTTAAGATTTGAGACTATTGTATGGAACTATGGATATATTTATTTAGAGTTTTTATATTTGTTAATGATTTGAAATTATTGATGATTAGAATTTTTAGCAAGTTTTTATTGTGTTAAAAGATTTTGTTTAGAGTTTTTAATAACTATTATATGTAATATTTTGAGCTTTTGTTTAAGAGTGCCCAAACAAATAAAAAAGATGTTTTTATAAGATTTAAGCTCAAAAAAATATAATTAAAAAAATCATATTTTTTTAAAAAAATTAAAAAAAATTAAAAAAATTATTTCGGGACATCCCGGTCCCGTCCCGACCGGGACCGGGACAACCCCGGGACGGGCCGGGACACGGGACAGAAAATCTGTCCCGTTACTGTTCATCAGGACGAAACCGGGACGGGCTTGTCCCGGTCCCTATCCGTCTCGTGAACACCCCTATTGCCAGCTGTGTCTCCAAAGCTGGCGTACAAATTAGTCCTCAGATGATGATGAAGAACAGCTTTGGTTGATATGCTGCAATTTTGATGTATTAATAAGGCAAAATGTCATTACAGATTTTTTCCGTTAGTGCTAGAAATCATATTCAAATATTAATATTTTTGTATATTTTAGTTAAATTATATTATTTTAGTTATGACTGGTTTGAATATGGTTTGACCTCTATTTCTTGAACTATTGTCTCGACCGATTCAATGACCAGTTTGGTTTTTATACTGTTGGGTACCATATAATCATACTGATATATAATATTTTTATCCATGGGAACATCTTCTAATGCCAACATAAGTTGTGACGACCATTCTTTTAAAATCATTTTAGATTAAATTCAACAATTTATTTGAATGATTAACTATGATAGAAAAGAAGAAACTTTAAAATTTTAAAATCGCTATCATGGTTAAAAGAAATAAACTTATAATAAGAGTAACATCTATCGTTACCTTGGGCCTTGGACTTCCAAAGTCCAGAAATATCATTCAACCATTAGCCCAAACCAAACTTATATTTTCAAACATACAAATTGATAAATCAGTTTAATATATACTAGAGAGCTCATTAGTCAAAAGTCAACACTTTCAAAGGAGCGTTACATGCAGAGTCTAAGATGTCTCGGGCCTCCTCGCAGCCCTATCATACCAGATAGTAGTAATTAAAAGTATTATTTTACATCATGATAGTAGATGAGCCCTATGTGGCAACATATAACAAGTCAGCACATAGAACAAAAGCAGGGAGGCTATACAAGCTATAACAGCACACTATGCCTCCGGAGCCTTCCCTGATGGGGCACCACCTGAACTATCGCATGAAAATGTTAAACCACGGGGTGAAACAAACGCCTCAGTAACCAACTTTCCAACTCATCATACATACTAACATGTGCTCGTGAGGTATCAAGTGGGGTAATTATTAAATCTCAATATATATATCAATGAAAAATACAAATATGTATATTTAAATAATCTCAATCATCCAAATCCTCATTACGGGAGCTAACACACAAGCCACATAAGTGTATCCCTCACTATAGGGGATCAAACCGACCTATAGGCCTATCCCACACTTTGGGGGACGATTAAATAGTCACAAAGATCCATCCCCTATTACAGGCCTATCCCACACTTTGGGGGACGAATAAAAAGCCACAAGGGTCTATCCCTTACTCTAGGGACGAAGGAAAAAGCCAACCAATGTGCACCAATGGCGGCCTTACCACGTGGTAGGATAGCGCTCAATCTAAAATCCAAATAACAACCAATCATTCATAATATAACGAAAAATGTCTCAATCTTTTCTCAGTATAATCCATAAGATATAAATCATATATCTTTTCCAAACTTCTCAATCACAATTCCAAAAATCCCACAAGATAATTTTCATAACTCAAAAGATATAACATATCTACTCGAGTTCCAAATAACAAATATTATTCTAAAATAACCAAATACTCACAAACAACATATTAGCACATATAATAAGTGGAAAGTGGTTACCTCTCACCAAAGCAATACTAAGGATTACCACAAAGTCAATCCTTTGCTCAACCAATAATTAATCTATACAATGAATATAACCACATATTAATATAAATCAATTAATTAAACTTCTCTATATTATTTAAGTTTCTAATTTAATTAAATTTTTACTCTAAATTCCCGCAATTCTCATAACTCAAAAATTATTAAGTATTTCAGAAACAATTTAAAATTTCTAACAAGCCAAATTATTTATTTACCACCTCCAAATTATTTACCTTAATAAAAAGGATTTTCAACAATTTCCAAATATAAAATTATTATGTTATAAATTCTAAAAACTCTCTTTTTCAGTTTAAAACTCAAAATCAAACTCTCAAAAATTTAATAATACTTTAGATATTTATAACTAAATAATATAGTCAAAACTTTAATGGTATAACTACCATATATATATATATATATATTTCCATAAATAATAAACTTTTTAGCTACAAAATTATTTTAAAACCTCCAGTTACCCAATAAATAAAACTAGACCGATTAAAATCTTAATAATATGTCAAACAATCCAAATAAATTGCTTAACTTGAATTTAATCGGTAAAAACATAATATAACTCATATATAACAGATTTTTCAACTAGAAAAATTAATTTAAATACTAAAAACCAACAAATGGACAAATCTAACTGATTAAAATTAACAACTCATTCACTTCTAAATTTCTATAGTCATCTTTTATCAAAACTCAATACTTATATCATATAAAAGTCTCAAAATTTTCTCCAATCACTATAGTAATAATGTAAATAGGAAGCTTAAAATATACAGAAAATATTTGTAAGGAAAGTTTGATGAAAAGAAAGAATTTTATGTACCTAAAATATCTTCAAAACTCGTTCTTTCCTTCACCGGTATGGTCCTTTCGCTCTTGCACACACACTAAGCTCTCTTTCTCTCTCTCTCCTGCGTAGTGCGCACTCACATTTTCAGCTTCCCTATCTTTCTTTTATTCTTCATTTCCCCAACTACCTTTTATTTTTTTTCTTCCCTCATTAAATTCCTCTCCCCCATTTTCTTCCTTCCCTTTTCAACGTTTCAGCTTTCCACCGAATTCGGTGGAAAGCTGTGACCCTTTTTTTTTTTTTTTAAATAATAATATATATTAAAATATTATTATTTTATTATAATAATAAAATATTTTTTTGTTTTTTTTTATTGAATTTTTTTATATTATAATAAAATATTATTATATATATTTTTACATAAATCCTAAAAATTAATTTAGGATATTACATAAGTTGTACTTGAAAAATGTCATTTGATATTTCCGGTTTTTTCCCCTTTTCATGGGTGGCAATAATGCTAAATTAGTTGATATATGTTCAAGAAAGTCATTGTGAATTTGTAAATGACAACGTTTTATTATCATTATTTCTAATATATAACTCAGCAAATTCAGGATATCTTATTTTCTGATTATGTTGAATGTGCGTTTGACATGGGTTTTTGGGTTACATTGTTGATGACCCTCCATATGACAAAGGCTGATTTTATTCAAAACAATTGGGGAATAGATGATGGAAAGGATCTGCCTGAAGAGTATCTTGGGGCCCTGTATGATCAAATTTTTAAAAGCTAAATCAAGATGAATGGTGATTTTTCTGCACCCCAGAGCAAACATGCAAATAGCTTTAACAGATTGCTGGGTTTGGATGGTTTACTCAATCTTATGAATTGGCAGCAGAATGAGGATAAAGTATTAGCTGCTAACGGCCTTCTCATTCGTCACATTGAGGAGCAGTTTAAGACAGGAAAATCAGAGTAAGCTAAAATATTGGCCCATTTTGGGAATGATTCTGTGGAAATGTACTCTCTTACAAAGCTAATCATACTAATTCTTTCTTTTTAGTGTTTATGCTGTTCTTTCATATGTGGGGATTTTCTATTTGATTATGCTACCTTGGCTGCTTTCGATAATATCTGTCACATTTAAACAAATATTTTAGCGCGTGAAGTCTCTACATCTAGTATATGCTACTTATTTGTGGGGATTCCAATTTTACCTTTTGTTGCAGATCGGTTTATCATGCTGTCACAGATCTGACAGTATTGAGGTTTATGGTGGAACTCTGCTGGGGTCCCACGTTGGCTGGTCTCAGTGTAACCCTTGACCAGAGTGATGACAGGATAGCGACTTCTGAATGCTTGCAGTGATTTCGACATACTGTGCATGTTACAGTCGCGATGGCCATACAAATTACAAACTCAGAGGGCTGCTTTCGTTACATCTGTTGCCAAGTTTGCATATCTGCATTGTGCTGCAGATATTAGCTGATATTAAAGTACGAATACAACAGAAACTTCAAGTTCCTGATGTGAAGTTTCCCAATGTAAGTTTCTTCTACCCATGAATCCCAGGCTTCTGAATAAAAATTGGTTGCAATGTTGTGTGTTTTACTTGCAAAAAATGGAATATCATGTTCGATGTTACTAAACCTTTTATGTTTATTATTATATTCTTGTGGCTAGTGGAAGTTTGCAGTTCTTTCACTTGGGCAACCTGAGTACCTTCAGGACTCAAACATCGTATCCAGTCGATTTCAGGTACATCCATTGAACCTCAATTAAATTTCTATACTTGTTGGAGTTGAGTCATACCATTATTTCATTTTGTTAACTTGCATTTATATTTACATTTTTTGATGTAAAAAATTCTTTCTTATGATAAAGAAGGGATGTTTATAGTGCTTGGGAGGAATATCTTGGCTTAGAGCATGCTGATAACGCTCCTTGAAGGGATGTTTATAGTGCTTGGGACCGTGTTCTTTATTAGGGAACCTTACCAGAAAGTGTAGGTGACTGGTTGCATCTTAAAACATAGATATCACTAGATGCTCAAAATTTGACGTTTGTTTTCAGAGTATATGATGAAAGTTTGGCAGAGTGCTTCTTAGTTATCTTTCTTAAGTATGAGGTTGTGAGTTCGAACTCTATAAAAAATATAATGGCTGTGTGAATTATAACCCAAAAAAAAAATTTGGTTCACTAAAGAAACTAGGGCAGACTATAGCCTTCATAAATACTACCTTCGGTTTTAAGTATAAGACCTTACTTATAGTTTATAAATAAGATCTTATAATTAGGACCGGAAGTAATAAGAGTTTAAACTACTCCAAGAAAAGAGAGGTTAAATTACTTCCCCCATAAGTCTACTATAATGGTCACACCAATACATTACTATTGTATATCAATCATAGTGCATTACAAATTAGAAAATGACAAAAAATAGCTAAAGAAAGTGAGAAAAATGGAAGCAAAAGAAATCCCTCAGAAAAGGTCAGGAGGAAGAGAAGGTCAGAGAGGAGCAGGCGATTCACAAAATTCTTCACACACTTCTCCTGAAAATCTTTCCTCATACTTTTTTTTGGCAAGCATTGATATACTCTTATTGAAAGTAATTCGAGGTACTGTTGAGCATTAAATATGAGTAACTTTTCTACCAAAAATTTGAACCCATCATATTGTAAGGGACTAATTCCTTCCATTAGAATCAATCTCAGTTAGTAAAACCTTTCCTCATATAAGCCATGTTCTTTAAACCTTTTGTCATGCTTTTCGACCCACTTACTTCGTCTATAGCTCATATTTCCTTTTGGCTCATTTCCACATAGTCTAGTATGTTTTTTTTAGTTAAAGTATATATTTGGTCCTTTAACTTTATATAAAGTTTTAATTTAGTTCTTAACTTTAAAAAGTATACTTTTAGTCTTTTAACATCAAAATTGTTAGTATTAAATGATATTTTTTGTATCAATTATGATTGTTTTAAATATTAAACTTAATATGTTAGCATTTAGTAATGTTTTATTGGTATTTAAGAGTTCAATATTATTATTTTTTGTTAACAATTTTAAAAATATACAACTAAAAGTTTACTTTTAAAAATTAAGGTACCAAAATAAAATTTTATGTAAAGTTAAAGCGCTAAAGTAACTTTAATCCATTTCTTTATTATTATTATTATTATTTTTTGGTTACTTTCCTTTCCACTGGTGTACTTAATCCGCAAGGCAATACAAAAACGCAGCGTAGATTGTGCATCTTCCTTCGGCTGGACGCTGAGCATTACATGCGTTTATATTTCACTGCCTTTTTGCTCTGCAGTCTTCGGCAACCCTTTGCATTACAATTTGGTGCTTTCATTGACCTCCAATGGCCGAACAGACCCGATCAGAGGATCTTCGGCCGGACGTTGGATGTGTAACTTATATGATAGAACAGCGTGTGATTAACGCTCGATTAGAAAGGTTGGAGTCTTCTCTAGATGGGATTACGCGCGCGATGGACTCCTTGACTCGGAGTGTGGATCGTTTGCTCCACTCCCAGGCCATCGAAGTCTCCAGTTCGGTTACCGACGCTCATATGCCAGCCAACATCAACAGGTTCTTCGATGAGAAATACCAACTCTCTTCTTCTTCGTCTATCTCTCAACATTCTCTTCTTCTTGATTCTGCTTCATCGTTCCTTTTTAGCGTTTATGTTTCTGCGTAGTGCTGTCATGCTTTTATTTATGCGGTTAAATAGTTTTTTTTTGGCATTATTCATTATTTCATTGTTTATTTGCGGCATTTTATTTGCTCTGTATTAAGATTCTCAGTGTTGCGCAACCTGGCAGAGGATACTGGTTTGGGCCTGAAAAGGCTCACCTTATTTTAATTTGAGTAGAGATTAGTGGCCATTTGATTTGATGTAGGGTTATTTATTTATTTATTTATTTTTGAAATTACGTTATTTGTTACTCGAAAAAAAGTAGAGGATACAAGCACGGGGCAGGCTGGTCTTCGACATCTGGTTATCCAAATTTAGTTTGGATGTTTTAGATTTAAAATTTTTTATTATTAGCTTTTAAGTGATAATTTTATTTTTCAAAGAAGTGATTATCTTCCATTTACATTTCTATATTTTTAAAAGTAAAAAAAACCAAGAGTATAAGAATAAAAATAAATTAAATCTGAACCTCTTTTTTTTTTTTTTTGGCCACCACTGAACTTCTTAACTTTAATTTTTTTTGGGGTACAATTAATTTTAATTTTTGATTGAGATCACTGTGTTTTATTTTTAGTCGGGCACATGAGATCATTGTGTCATTTTAGCCATCCAAAGATTATGTCTCCTTCACGGCCCAAAAAGATCATTTCTGTTTGAAAATGATCCTCATGTCAGAGCCCTGTTGGAGTTCGAATTCATTGGGCCTAAAGCCCATTGGATCAGTCACGCTTTTCTCATAAACTCCAATTTAATTCCGATTGTTATTTTTACTCCAGCGATTTTATCGCTTTTTACTAGAAATTGTACCTCTTGGATCATTATTATAGAGTCAAATAGAGGGTAGAGGAAGATTCAAGGAAACATTAAACCAGAGTTTTTGGTTAACAATCTATCTAAAAATTTAGTTATTAACAAAGGGCATCATTTTTTGTAGCCAATGCAACCTAGTTGAAATGAGACTTCTTGTTGTGTTCAAAACAACTTATACTCTTTGCTGATTGTTGTCAACTAAACAATGTATTTTATGAGAAGTGCCTTGTCAAATGTTGGGCTCAAAATTAAACCTAATTTTAGTTCTCCTATACTTTCCAGTTTTGACCTTTTTTTTGTGTGGCTATACTTTGGATTTATGCAGTGGATTATTGCCGGAGAGGTTGATAAATGAAAAGGAAGCAAAAGAGCATGAAAAGAAAGAAGAGGCTCACCTTTACACCATTATAAAGGTCATCAATTCCCTATCTTTATTTTTGTATAATCAACTGCTTCTTTAACTTCACCAGAATTTTCCGGTGCTGCTTCTTAGGTGGCACGAGATGAAGATCTTGCAAAACAGATTGGAAAAGATATATATTTTGACCTTGTAGACCATGACAGAGTGAAATGTTTTAGTGTCAAAAAGCAGATGACTTTTAACCATTTCAAGGTCTGACAATCTAGTGATCTACCATCCCTTTACTCTTCTGCAAGGACTCTCTAACTTGGCACGGTGTCTTAACTTGTTTTCTTTCTTCTGTAGCATGTTCTGATAACAGCCTGGTCTGGTCTTGCGTGGTTATATATTAATCCAAGTCTGTTGCATTCCGTGAAGAAAGTTGAATTAAGAAAAATGTTAGCATTATGCATAGTTATCAATTTGCAGTACAAATTGTTAATTGTAACTGTTTACACCAAGTAATTGATTTGAGGCCGAAGCCCAAGACCATTAATCTGAACAATAAAATCCCATATAATTAGGATAACATAAGCAGCAGCAGCAACAACAATTCAGGAACATGAGCAGGGAATAAATAAAAATTCTGCTGTTGAATAGTGGTCCTTATGGGCCAATTTTCTTTATCGCAAAAAATAACAAATATTAAAAAGCTGTTTAAATAGAGGTTAGAAACATTCAGACCGATTTTGATGTTGCCTGAAGCTATTTTTTTTAACCACCCCGAAAAAAAGTGGTGGACTTGGTGTCTAATGCGCAGGATATCTATGTGTAAAAGTTCTTGACTGATAAACCTGCAAAATTCACGTAGATTCGCATAGGAAGTAACCAATATTCATGCAGCATCAAGTTGGTGAGTTTGTAGAACAATTTAAAGCAGAAATGGTTGGTGTCAATCTCTGCTGTCAGAATTTTTTTGGATGAGTAATTTAGCTTTTAAACTATGATGCGAGTGATGATTGTCAATTTCTTATTACGCTTGGTTGAATTATTTTCAGTGGTTATGTTTCTTTGTTGATTTGCAAACTGCAGGAAGAGGTTGCGAAAGAGTTTGGCATACCAGTGCAATTTATGCGCTTTTGGCTTTGGGGAAGGCGTCAAAACCATTCCTACCGTCCTTGTAGGCCATTGAGGCCCTTTGAGGAAATCACATTTGTAATAGTTTTCTAACCAATCTTCTTCTTGTTATTTGCCCTTCTTTTTTTTTTTTTTTTTCCTTTATTTTGGTCTCGGCTATAGCAAGCTTCATATCTATTTAACTGCTGCTGACTGTCTTGGTTTGAACTACATTTTGCTTTTGTAAAATCTGATCTTTTACGGAAGCTTAATCTTTTCTGTTCTATTGCTTCATCTTGTCTTATTTCTAAAAGCTGTTATTTACGTGCTATTGTTAGCTGGAAGCATATCTTAGATTTCATATGAGGGTGGGCTTATCATCAGTTCACCTAGCGGAGTTTTTCGTGCATCAGTCCATTTTAACCCAACGAACTTTTTCTGGCTGTTATTTATTTATTTATTTTTAAACAACAAAAGAATGTTTAGCGGTAGTTATATTATTTTGGATCCTCTGGTCGGTACTTTTTGCTCTGTAAGAGCAGTTAATTAATTTCTATTACTTCTTGTCTGTATGCTATAGTACTCTGCCATGCATTAGCATCTCTACCATTTGATGCTGGTTTTCACTTGTTTCCGACCATCTTCATGTTGCAGGTTTGGCAATTGAGAAAAGTTTTAAAAGAAGTCCACATTAATCTGTTTTTGGAAGTGGAGCTGGGGCTGGTAATTTTTATATTTATGGAATGTGATTGCATCAAACATGGTATTGTTGATATTCTGCTTTATTATTTAGGATTTACGTCCCATTGCACCACCTGAAAAGACGAAGGATGATATATTACTTTTCTTCAAGCTATATGATCCGCTAAAAGAGGAACTACGGTATTGAGTGATTTTGTTACTTTGCATTTGTTGAGGCCTGTTGTAATACCTACTGTTGAAGTTAAATCAATATTTCTATGGTGGCAGTTATGTTGGAAGGCTCTTTGTGAAGCTGCTTGGCAAGCCATCAGAGATATTAATGAAGTTAAATGAAATGGCTGGTTATGGTCGTGAGGAAGAGATTGTGCTTTATGAGGTTGGTGCCCTGATTTTCTCGGCTATAGCTTCATGCAAGTTTTATGCACTGTGGTTTTTATCCTTGTTTGTTGGAAGCATAGGTCTGTTCAAAATCAGTTCCATCCACATCTAACCAAATTAATCCACTGTCTTATTTGATCTTTGTTAGGAGTTTGGGCATGTCTATCAGGTCAATTCCATGTAACCCCCTTTTTTCAAATAATAAAGCAACTATATTATAAGTAAGATGATTAAAATACAAGAGGTTTAGTTGCTATCCACGGGGAAAAGTTGAAGGAAAATTTTGATGTTGCTCAGCAGGGGTTAAACAAATCTTGAATGACACAATTTCGGTAGTTCATGAAGAATTTAATCTTCATGTGCGTCATTCTTTCTATGGGGTCTTGCAACCTGAATTATTTTTTTTTTGACTTTGGTCACATCATTTACTTGATATTTAGATTTAGGAATGATTTGTGATCTATAGCCCTTTACATGTTTAATTTTTGAACTGAGCATTCTGAATGTCTCTGTGATTAATTTGTTCGACCCTTCTTATTCTAACGTGCATGTCAGTGACTGACGGAAATCCATAATTAATGACTGGAGTGTCCTGTTAAGTGTTTTTTCCTTTTGGGTTGCGTCTTGGAATTGAGATCTCCTGTATCTGTGTTTTGTGCAGGAAATTAAGTTCGAACCATCTGTCATGTGTGAACCCGTTCACAAGGAACTCTCGTATGCAGAAAGTCAGGTAAATAAATTTCTTCACGCTTGATACTCCGAGTTGCTTTCTTGTTGTGCTATACGCTGATGTGATTTCCATATTGCAGCTAGAAGATGGAGATATCATTTGCTTTCAGAAAGCACTCCGTTTTCCAGATGTGCCTTCATATTTAAGACATAAGCGCCATCGCAGGGTATATTTTATTGGTTTTCAATTCAAGCAATTTTTGTGGTTGTGCCTGGTTTGGTTTCTCCCTTTGAATTTATACATGGGGTTTGCTATTTCAGATCGCCACGTTTGAGAAGCCAGTAAACATTCATAATCAGGAAACCAATTCCAATGAGTTGTCATCCTCCGTGGGATGAATTTGGAAGCAAACAAGTGAAAATGCATCAGCATTTGCAGGATTTTATTGGAGTTTTGTGGCCATGAAATTGTATTGCGACCATGGATTGACTTTGCTCCCGACTTTCCGTTTCTATGTATGCTTGCATACACTTGGGCTTTATTTCCTTCATATGCATTTATAAACTTGTATGCGAACCATGAGAGTATCTGGTCATTTGTTTTATAAACTTGTATGCGAACCGTGAGAGTATCTGGTCATTTGTTTTCATACATTTCTTCTTTTCTTCCTGTCTCATTCGACTTCATAAGGACGTATGGATTTTACACCCCCCACTGGGAATCTAAACATTTTTCTGTAAGCAAGGGATTACACGGAGAAAAAGAGTCGAACTTATTCACCCCTATGCTAATTTATGCACGTTAGGAAATATAAAGATTATACGCATAGATTATTTTAACTAGCATTCCCACCCTTTTTTGTTAGTTAGAATAAAAAATAAAGATTGCACATCCCTGCGATTCTTCTTTAGTATATATATACACATGAACAAGCTATAGCCCCTACTAAACCTAAAAGTTTCATGTCTCCTCTTGTTTTTTTTTTGACTGAAAATTTCATGTCTCCCGTTGTAACAAAAAAAACAAAATGGTGCCCGTAAATATTGGGAAAAAGGGTGTGGTGGGGTCATCATGGACGATTATGGCAGATGCCAACGAAGCCTCTTATCTTTTTGGGGAAGAAATCGGGTAATGGAAACCGTTTGCACATGGGCTCAGTTTTCAAACATGTATCAAGTAGGCTCACTTTCATTGGGTTATCCCTCTGGAAGCATCTCAATGGCCTTCTCACTAGTGACGTATGCTCATGTGATAGGCCCTATTCCTGAAGTTTTGAATGATTAATTGTTCTATTTGGAACAATATTCCCCCGAGGTAGGGTGGGCTCGGCCTCTGCAGGCCATTTCTTTGTCTCTATTTAAAAAAAAAAAAAGTGCTTTTTTTTTTTTAGTCTTTCCGGCGAATAAAAATCCTTTTTCCTACGGTATATCTTGAACCTTGACAGGTTGGCCGAAAAGGGGAAAAAAAAAGTTCATATAATTTTAGTCCTTTGAGTTTGGTCTTTAAAACATCCATCTTATAATTTAATAAAAATATAGATCATTTTTCCTTTCAAGAATGAAAACCTATAGTTTGAAATTTAAGAGACCAAAATCAAAATGAGGACAGATTTAAAAGATAAAAAATTATATTAACCCAGAAAAAAAATAAAAATTATCTTTGGATGATTATTCTGAAAAAAAATGCATTTGAAAACGAAAACATAAAAACTTGTTTGGAACATCGTTCTTAGAATCAACTTGGAGAATTGATGGGAAGTGAGAGATAAAGTGAAGAGTGCAGTTGGGGGACTGAGAAATGACGTACAAGAGCATGAGAGCTAAAGTGAAGAGTGTGGCCTTGAGTAAAAAGAACAATTAGGAAAATTAGGAAAAATAACAAAATAGAAAAGAAAGAAAGAAAGAAAACAATAAAACATGAAAAAAAAATTAGAGTTTTTGTTTTCAAAAACATATTTCTATTTTTTTATTTTACAAAACACTTAGTTAAAAATTAACAACCAAATAAGTTTTTTTGCTAATATTGTTTCCAAAACAAGAAAACAAACAGGCCCTACCTTTTTTTTTTTTTACTTTTTTTTTATATTCCAAGAAAGTTGTGTGTGGTTTACCCAACAAAGAGGGACAAAAAAATAAAAAACAAAACATGTTTTGTTTGCACATGGGCTGCACGCAAAATCACGGGTGCTTCTGATGAAGGCCTGATTGCAACACTGCTTGTTTACTAAATAATGCTTTTGTATATTCACATTTATCCTACCAAACAATGTTAATTTGCTTGGCTTTTCTTTCTTGCCCTTCAAGTTCGTTCTTGAAGTTCGCTCTTCTTTACATGCATTAGCATGTACCTAAAGCGGCCTTTGGAAAGACATCAAAACTTTATGACCTTATAGGAGATTATAACGCAATAATAAACCCCTTCTTGCCAGCTCTGTCTCCAAAGTTGGCCTACAAATTAGTCCTCAGATGATGATGAAGAACAGCTTTGTTTGCTGGCCAGTGGTGTGTTTCTTCGAGATCGACGCTTGGTTTGGACCAGCACAGGCTCCTGCACCCATTCTTCCATCATTTCATCATTGTCAGCATCATCACCGACCTTAAAAACTGGGTGGATGAATGCACTCTGGAGGAACTCTTTCATATTCAGGTTTGGCTCCCTTGCTTTCTCCAATGTATCTTTCATCATTGCTTCCTGAAAGTGCAGTAGGATCAATACAGGCCAAAATATACAGGCCATGTTTTTCTTTTATTTGGTCAATGCAGTAGTGAAGACCTGAAGATATTTCTTGTGCAGATTATTTGCTCAAGAAAAGAAATTTAGTTGGGGGTGGGGGTTCATCATTGAACTTTTAGAGAATTATTTGCACTTGACGTAAAGTTGGCAGAGTTTAATGCAATTTCTTTTTACCAGAGTTTAATGCAATTGAGCCATTTTAGAATGCAACTCAAACCCTAGTTGCAATATCTGACAAAAAATAGTCAGAAAAGCCACGAGACTAGGCCTACTTTCTGAGGGAAGCCCAACTTACTGAGAAGAAGAAACCATAATACCAATTGCAATATCTGACAAACCTGTAATGGATATTTTCTGAAGGCAGGTTCATAACGGTCCTTGCAGAACCTATAAAACCATATGGTCAAAACTGGGAGTGCGATGAGAAACGGAGTTGAGTGAGATGCTTCTTTTGTACTCAACAATCCCATTAACAGCAGTTGTGACACGACTAATGCAACAACTACACGCCCATGAACATCAGGCCAGAAGGCTGCAGCGCTTTCATACTCTTGGTTGTACACATTAATGATCTACACAACACAACCATTCAACTTCATGCATTAGATAAAACCTCTCTTGATATTGTAAGAAAACTAGAACAAGTTCATGCTTTTCTTCCCTAACAAGTAGGTGAATTTTAAATTTGATTACATTCAAATATTTTTTTAAATAAATCTAGTCAGTCAATCATTGGGATATCTGTAATATTGTCATTTAGTCTCATTTTTCGGTAATGTAAGCCTAATAGTTATTAGTTGGGTCAGACCTGTAATCCTATAGCATATAGTAATCAGACAATTTGAATTTTGTCTTAGAATAGGATGGAACGACAATACTGCTGGCATTTTAATGATTGGAGGGCTAACTGAAAAATCTACTTATTAATTAGGGACTGGGTTTTCCTGAAAAATTTAGAATTTCATAGTAGTTCCCTTTTTATAAAAGCAACGCTATCAAGTCAGGTTGATTCGATCAGTTACAGAAAAAGATTTTCATCAACCTAAAGATCTTCATACATACAAGACTATATCATCGAGGGGTATGATTTAGGAATCAAATAATTCTTATAATCTAAGACAACAAGCATGTGAAAATGGTGACCAAGAGCATCAAAATAGAAAATCTGATTTTTACCTGGTGACGATAGACAACATATGCCAGGCCAAAGAAGACTACAATGAATGGAAGCAGAATAGGTGTGACCACAGCATAAACAAGGCCAAGCAAGAAATAAAGTTGTATTTGAGGTTCACCGGTATTGAAGCCAAGAGTGCCTGGATCCATTGCTTCCATTCGATCCTTTTCTGTCTTAACTAGAAAGAAGTTTTTTAAATGATAGAATATCAAAGGCTTCAACCTAAGAATCTCAGCAGCAGATCCAGCCCACCCATCAACCATTATGTAAGTTATGAAGAAAGTTGCTTTCATTGGAATTGAGACGCCAATTGTTTTTGGGATTCTGCAAACACAATAAAACTTAATATTACAATGAAAATAGAACCATACTGAGTTTTGGTCCTCCAAAGGTGCACCTTGTTTCAGTTTAGCTCTCCAAAGATTAATAATTTTAGTCATTCAAGGAACACTTCACTTCAGTTTGAATATGATCTACGTTGAAGCCCATTAACAAATAGTTACCGAGACATGTGACCTTTAACTACCTATGTTGCCATCAAAGTGTTGTACAAGCACTTTTTCTATGTCCAAATGTTGTAAAATGTGGCGTTTTGATTATTGCA